TTAATGTTATGCATCATAATTCCTTCATACCATTGTTCATTACCAATATGGATATGACTGGCTATTTGTTCTTTATCGTATGGTTGTTATTGTTCGCCTCAGATGTAACCTGCTCTCTCTCTCTTGCAGACTGGCAGCTGACGCGGCCAGATGCCCGGCAGAGAGTTCTGGAGATTCCCCTTCGGCCGCCGGTTTCACGGACGCTGAGCGCCGACTGACATGGCTGTGGGAACTGAATTCATCATGCTGACGGGTGCAAATGATTCATGGCATCACACAAGGAAACAATGAATTTTAAACGAAATGTTTGTGTTCAACAATATCTAGTCAACACCAGGGATCTTGCAGGATAAGCGAATTTAAACCTGTTCTGCCTCACTTTCCTCGGACTGCGTCGTCGCAGAGATTATCACGGGTAGTCATTTCTGAGGCAATTTCATTTCTAAAGGAAGAATGTTGTGACATAGGATTAGCAATTCGTGAGATCAAAGTTAATAACCAAGACAATAAAAGTGTAACCGGCCTTCCTTCCAAAAAAGGAATCAGGATTTCCATTAGACTGACTATGCTGGCGTGGTTAGAGGGGTACTGCGACTCCACTCACGGCCAGGAATCCAGCGCCAACTACCCCCGAACTGTCTCCATGGTTTCCCCCGCGATTCTGCACTCGAATGAGAACCTCCCGCGGCGAGCCAATCCGGTGCTGCTGGGAGGACACGCCTTCAAGAGAGTGCAGCGAAAGAGCGAAAGCGAAGGGCACACGACCGCTGCCGGTCCTCACGTGGACGAAACCATCGTTAGGCACACGAAAGCGTATGGAGTCGATAGGTATCCAGACCAAAGCCGCCTCGGCCAGTTACACATCTACCCATTTAATCATGCAGCCAACCAGTGTCATTATAGCAATCAAAGTTCCGATATGATAGGTCTCTCTAGTCCAGCCCATTTGCTCAATAACACCAACCCTATGATTCTCACTCAACAAGTACATAACTACTATGGTTACGGGAACTCACCGACTATCAATGGATGTTCCGTAGAGGGATTTTACTACTCAGATCTCAGTAGCGCTTATGGCAAATGCCACATCATTCCTGGAAAGCCGAAAGGCCAAATACCCCCTGCTTACTGTGAAAGCAAAGTCAAGGGGGAGTGTCACGAACCCGTCCGTCCGTATCCATTGTGGAAACCATTCCGTCCCAGCAAAAACCCAGCCTCACCCAGTCCGACGAACCAAGATTCACAAAGTATCAGTCATGTCAGTCGAAGGAAGGGCTCAACCATTTCAAGAGAAGACCAAAATGTGATGGATTTGGTGGGAGCCATGAAAGCCTCCTTTCGGCAGGACCGACGGAGAGGTCCGGTGTATGATCGCCCCTTAAAGATTTTGACTGACAAGGAGCTGAAAACTGTTCTCAAGCCCAATGATTACGACGAGCTCATGGGTCTCATCAAGCTGAACCTTAGCACCTTAACCTCAAATCTTCACCAGCATGTAGGCATGGATACAATCGAAGGACTAGGGAAACTATACAGCCTATTTGTAGAACGCAGGACTCACTTTTTTACGAAGATACCGTTCTTTAAGCATTTATGTTTGAGTGACAAGCCTCGTCTCTTGCGTCTAGCTGTAGCGATCAGCACCCACATCTCAGCTGCACAACATATAGACACGAGCACGTACACATGGCCGCGTAATGACACAAGCCATGCAAGCTCCTGCTTACCAATTCTCTCGGCGTCAACGCTTCGCCAGATCGTAACGCACGAGCATTTTTTGACGATTATGAAGTTTTATACAAATTACTGCCACATCTACGCCGACCCTAACGTGTCACTGATGACGGAAGTGCTCTCCTTGTTCTACGACGAGCCAGGATTGAGTGACCCGAGATCAGCCTCCTCGGCCCGCAGTCACTACCTCGCCTTGTTGTCGCGCTACCTAATAGCTGTGCATGGATGGCAGCGTGGTTCCGACATTCTAAAAGTCATAATCAGGAGCCAGCGAGAAGCACGGCAACTAACAGAAATACACCAGTACGTAGAATTCCGTGCACAGTCGCCGCGACAAAGCCTCACAGACGTTACCAACTCCCTTGCCGAAAACTTCGTTAAAATGCGCGTATCCGTCCAAGACACTATAAGCAAACACATAGCCCAGCAGCAACAGGAGCAGAGGCCCCCCAGCCCCACTCTTTGTGCCCAAGACCCCCAGCCTTCCGAACGCCAGGGCAACGAAGCGGCCGTCTTCAGCAGCCTCTTATCAAGACTGGCTACCTGCGACGATCCCGAAGTCCTAGCCGCTGCGAAACACCTCCTCCCGACTAGCCTGCTTCTGCGATTCTTACATCTGTTAGAATAGTTGTCCCGCGAGCGTCTTTCAGAAAGGGCGACAGTGCCACGTCCGCCGGAGACGCCGAAGGCACTCCAGTGTATACGGGCGAATGAGCAACGCCATTAAAGCCAAAGTTACAGTCTTAATTTTTTTGCGTGAGTCACCGTGAAGCTGCTTTTGTATCAGTGGATAAAAAGAGGAAAAGAACTAGAAGTAAAATATGCACACACACACAACACATACATGCACACACACACACATATATGTATATATTTATTCATTTTCTATTATATATATATATATACACATATATAAAACACACACACACACACACACACACACACACACGTATATATATATATATATATATATATATATATATATATATATATATATATATATATATATATATATATATATATATATATATATATATATATATGTGTGTGTGTGTGTGTGTGTTGTGTGTGTGTGTGTGTGTGTGTGTGTGTGTGTGTATACATATGCATATGTGTACGTATATATATACATATACATATACATGTGTATGTATGCATATACATACATACACACACACACACACACACACATATACATGTGTACACACACACACACACACATATATACATGTATACATACACACACACACACACATATAGGTATGTATGCCTATATATCTATCTGTCCATACATATGTATATATATATATATATATATATATATATATATATATATATATATATATATATATATACATACATACACACGCCCACAAACAAACAAACACACACACACACACATATGTATATGTATGTATATGTATATATATATATATATATATATATATATATATATATATATATATATATTTGTATATCTGTATATATATATCCCACACACATATATATTATATATGCGGGTGTGCATATGCGTGTGTGTGTGTATGTGTATGTGTGTGTGTATATTATATATATATATATATATATATATATATATATATATATATATATATATATATATATATATATATATATATATATATATATATATATTATATATATATATATATATATATATATATATATATATATATATATATTTGTGTGTGTACACAAACACGTGTGTTTGTGTGCTTGTTATTTTTCTGTTATGCAGTTTGAGACTTGACACTATAATTTGTAAGATAAAAATACATTTATCTGTAATGTGTGCATGCCTTGTTTACTGCCTCTGTGCAGATAGGGATATGTCTAGAAGTGCCTTCTAATAGACTTTAATTTGTTATATAATATGTTATGCAACTATATATACACACATGTATAAGGAATTAAAACGTTGATTATGGAGATGTCTATACATATATTTATTTAGAGGTTATTTTTTTGTTAAAGAACTAGTCAAAACATTGAGAATGTTTTACCTGAATAAAATGTTTTATTTCGCGTAAACTTTTATTCATTATACACACCTATCCCTCTACATAAGTACATCTACCATCATTCATATATATATATATATATATATATATATATATATATATATATATATATATATTCACACACAATTGTAATATTTGGAGTATATATTAACAAAAAAATGCAGATTGTACTCGTTTTTTCTTTTCTTTTCTTAATACACATGTGAACCTCCTACAGCATGGGTGCCACTGTTCGTATGAAGCACATGTAGAGGATATTCACTTTCCAGCCAGGACCGAAAGACCATCTCATTTGCTTTGGCTGTGGGCGTGCGGGAGCTTTGCTTGAGATCGCTGTGGTCTTGTGCGTTCGTGTGACAACCAATGTCTTTCGTTTCCACCTTTTGGTTGAAATGGCGACTGCAAATTCTTTCTTACGGGTTCTACTACCAACTATGTTCAAGAGCTTTCAGTAGATACGCTGGATTAATCATAATGTCTTCAGTACTTATTACAATGCCCTGTGGATGGTCGAATGCGTAAACTTTTGGTATTTTATTGCCAATATTATCCTCATTATTACTTTTATCATTCTTGTTATTATCATTATTGTCATCAATACTATCGTTATCATCAGTACTCTTTTTATCATTACTGCTATTGTGATAATTATTATTGTTGCTGCTGCAATCATAATCAATATCATGATTATTATAATGATCATTGTTATAAGAAAGAGAAGTAACCTGGGATTATCTTCTCCGATGCTTAAACTTGGCCGAGGGTTCTCGCTCTCTCTCTCTCTCTCTCTCCTTCTCTCTAAGAGGTTATGAACCTCCCACGTGAACCTCCTACGTGAAACTGTTCGGAGAGTGATACGGCCTGACTATTCTTTGAGAGAGAGGGACAGAGAGACAGACAGACTGATTGACTGAGAGAGAGAGACAGAGAGGTATGAACATATCAGAAGGTGGATACAGAGAGATAGAGAGATAGATAGCGGGATATAGAGAGAGTGTATGTGTTAAATGAACATATTGGAAGGCGGAGAGAGAGAGAGAGAGAGAGAGAGAGAGAGAGAGAGAGAGAGAGAGAGAGAGAGAGAGAGAGAGAGAGAGAGAGAGAGAGAGAGAGAGAGAGAGACAGAGAGAGAGATGTGGGATGCGGCCGTCCCTGAGAGAGGACAGGCGGGGGGGGGGGGGGGTATTCACAAGGAAACGACGAGACCGTGTCCCTCTATGCTGCGGCTCCTGAAGGTGTTCGTTTCCGATATATGTATAAACACACACGGGCGGAAGCAGATGTCACATGGAAGCTTGGGTTAACTTAAGAACACATGCGGATGACTTGGCGCCCACGTGGAAACCATGTAGCTTGGCTTTAAGCTAATGGCTTGCAAATATGGTGTGCATATAAACACGAGTAATTAAGATTAAATGAAATTAAATGCTCACTAATGCGTACACTCCGTCGCATATCATTAAATATGTTTACTGAGGTAGTGGAAATAATTTTGTGTAGCATTTCAAAGTAAGACAGCTGTGACTATGTCTTTTTTTTCTCCTACCCCCTTCGATCTTCGGGGACCCGTGGGGCATCGGGGCTTGAAGGGGAGGTGGGGCACACACAGGATAAATCGTGGAATCAAATGTGAAAATAAAAAAAGAGCAAAATCTGAACGAGAATCCGGAAAAAAAGAGAGAGAAGTGCAAAAGTGAAAACCCCGAAGCAAAGTACAAAGTAAACAAAGCAACAGTGAAGAAACGAGCAAAAATTCAGATTAAAAATCAATAAAGGTAAAATAATAATAATATCAATAGCAAAAAATAAAAAAATAATAAGATTTAAATAGTTATAACGTGTAGACATGATAAACGTGCTAACTTTTCGTTCACCCGCAGCGCCAACGCAACGGTGTCGCCGAAATCCCGCCGAAATTTCCTTAAGATCGCGGCACAAACGAAACCATAAAGAGACGGAGTGTATAACGCGGCAGCAGTCGTTTATTAGTCTCGGGGTGGGCTGTAAAGATCACCCTCGCGAGATAGCCAACAAAACGGGCTTCTCGACGGCCTAACGGAGGGGCTGTTCCTTCTGCGTCCCTCCACTTTGTCTCGAGGTTACTGGTATGGGCACCAGTTTTGGGATCAACAAACTTGCACGAGTCGTTAACAAGAGATGATTGAAGCCCTCTTTGCTCAGACTGTCATAGGCTTTCCAATTGTCTGATATGATTGTTGTCTCGGCTCGCACGTAGTCTTTAGTAATTGCAATTAGTGTGCCGAGTATCTTTTCTCAAAGGGAACGCAAAAATGTTCTTTTGTTTCTCGGCAAAATCCACCAAAAACCCTCTCTGTCGATTGTCCTACATAATATTTTCTCTTTAAATTTCTTGCATTTCCAAAGTTTTTCCCTTATCAATTCACTATATTTTTATAACCCAAGGTATAAGCACTTCTCTACAGAAACTGGACCAATCCTTTTAGAGCATTATCACTTAGTCTTAATTAATTTCTAATTTGTTTGTATGAAAATCCTTTTCGCAAAAATGATTTACAAAATCGCAAGTTCGTTTCCACGTCCAATTATGATTTGTCAAACCAAGTGCCTGTAAAAATTATTCGCACAAAGGCCACAGGCATTTTTTTTATGCCCCTTAGGATAGGATTTGTCTCAGTAGAAGTCATTTCTTTTACAATCATTAATGCAATTGGGAAAATTTATTTTTTCGGTATAACACTATGAGCATGTACATAATCAAAAATGTTTTCTGTATTTCCAGCAAAGTTCAGTAAGAAATTTACGTACCCATAATCAGGGCAGGTGCTAGGAATTGCGGGCACCAACTGGAAAACTGATGGTGGGGCCCCTATTCTACATTGTAAAATTTATATTTCATATTAAAAAAAAACACTTACAACCCAAAAAAACGAATAAACATTAAATGCTTGGTATAATGATTTTTTAAAAAGATTTTATTGTTTTCCCTATATGATAAAAAAGGGTCCTGCTGGCGAGGGGCCCAATTTGATCAAATCGGTCAAATCGGCTTAAAACCGGCCCTGCCTTTAGTCGCAGTAGGCAAGCTATGTCGTTCTCTCTTGTTTGCACCAAGGTCACTAGGGTCGAAATGACGAGTGTCCTCTCAAAGAGGGCGGTCGAATCAGTTCGATAAGTTGGTGACATTAACCGTGCATCGGTATGACGAATAATTTAAGATATCATAAATAAATGTTAATCATATATATATATATATATATATATATATATATATATATATATATATATATATATATATATAGAGAGAGATAGAGAGAGAGAGAGAGAGAGAGAGAGAGAGAGAGAGAGAGAGAGAGAGAGAGAGAGAGAGAGAGAGAGAGAGAGAGAGATTATTATGAACATAATGGCTACAAGAAACGTAATAATAGTATTATTTTTTTTTCTCAATACAATGTTACTGGGGTTACGCAGAGCCATCTATGAACTTAACAGAAAACTCACTTTTGTTTACATTCGAGACCGTTCGAGATAATAAGGTTTGTGAACCTTTTTTTTCCTTAGCGGGGCAACCTTTTAAACTTCAGTCACACCACAAACCAGTCAGGTCCCCACAGTTTTATTCTCTTAGCCGACATCTACGAACGCTAATCAATAATCCTAGTATACTTCCCTAGATATATGTTATGCGGCCACCTTAATATTGCCTTTTGTATCAATATCATTAATAATCATAACATGTTTTTAAAATGAACGTTAATATTAATGACATGAAGAAAATAGTCTTATCAATGCCATCTATACCAAAGAAGCAGTAAGCTTTGGGCAATCAGACTGCTACATTTGTTGCTACCTAGTTACTGGTAACAAACGACGTGTTGTTATAACGAAGTCGGACTAATCAATATCAACGAGGAAGTTACTGACTGGATTTCCATTAGAAGCAACTATTTTACATGGACCACATTTAATTATTTCCCTCCATTATCCTCCTTTCATAATGCACTGTACCATAATCACACCACGTACCATGAAGTATACTGGTCCCTACACATTAAATAAAATACCTTTCATTCAGTTATTGAGTGCATGGAGGTATTAATAAGAGTAGGTATACTTCATTCCTTCAAGCTGAGTTTTAAAAAAATACAGGCCTATGTAACAATCATAACCGTTGTTACTATGCGCAACAAGTCGAGGTCCTCGTTGACGGAGTTTAAGGCTGGTTCTTATACCCTTTTTGCATGGATAGGATATGGTAGCGTGGGAAAATTTCATGGGTTATGGGAAAACCTGTTTGTTCACTGTTACTGAAGCTCTTTAATATTTAGATTTTCTTATAATTAAGGTAGCCATTAATCAAGAGGATCTAAGAAAAATCCACACAGGATAGTTTAAATACACCCCTTTATTTAATCGAATAAAATGCCACACAGGTGTACTCAGCTGCAGAACTTAACTTAAATATATATCAGTAAAGATGCCGTAGTGAAAAGGGGATGCCGATCCATCTGCTGACGAACTCCGTGCTGAACCATTCGCGGTCGTTCACGACTCTCTTCTCTCCGTCTGTTCTGTCGACCTCTGCTCCTGCCAAGAATCCCCCAACCTTGCCGCGCTGTGCCTGAGGCGGTCACGAATTCCAGGGGAACCATCTCGAATGGTCGTTTAGAGGTCACCGGGATAGTGGAAGGGGCCGTTTGCCAGGTCAACGCTGTGTGATCCTGCATAATTGTATTTAGTCTTGCTACACCTAAGCTTAACTCCCACTGCCAGCAATTCCACTTGAAAATCATTCATGCAGAGACACAATCGCTCACTCTTCTCATCCACAGGGCTATTTTGATGATTGTTCAATGAAAAAATAACCATTAAAATAATTATTTTCCATCCTTTTTGAAAATTGAGATCAAAATGAATAATAAACACCATGTGCTTTATCCAAAATAAAATCGCAACTTTTGTGACGTCATCACAATCAGACGCCATGACACCTTCCCGAGTTGCTACTGATCTAGCCTTTCCCTATGACGTAGCGATGAAGTAGTAATGACGGAGTCGGTTGGGTATGACGTCCGTGTTGGTAGATGATAGATACCAGAAATGACAACATAATTATTTATATATCATAGGCAAATATAGAGAATATATTGTTTGTTTTTCTTACATTCAATACATCACATGTGATATATGCAAACAAAATAGTTTTGGATTGTGTCCCACTCAGTAATGACAACGAAAATGTAAAACAGAAGGGGAAACTTCCATTAGCTTTCTGTAGTGAAAAAGTATCTTCTGAAATTTGCTAACTGCATGAGACGCTTGCTGAGAGGAACAGCGAAGATTTTAGTTAACTTCAGAGGTATTTAATATAACCGAAATATACATGAAAACAAATATATAGCGGTTCTTGACATTAATATGATGACGTCACACAGCCCCTCTTACAAATTCTTGAATATATGCTATACAAATACATTTTGACAAGCCTATGGACAATAACGAAACTAAAAAGATAGTTGCAGAAATTGCTAAATGCACACAAAAACGCGCCTTCAAAGAAAACTACTGTGACAACACAATGAGCCAATCACGGCTCCAACACACTTCGCCGATCACAGAGCATCCTATAATTCAGAGTCGGTTGTCACGACAACGCTGAGGTACATAGAAAAAAGAGGTAATAACTAACTTCGTGGGAAAATAATGTCATAAACATTCTGTCAGCTCTGTCCTAAAGCAGTGGTTTTCAACATGTGAGTTGCGACTCGCAAGTGTGCCCGATAACATTTTGCAGATCTGCATTTCTTAACTTTGAAGTTATTGCTCTTTTAATAGAAGACACATGGAAATGTGGAATTGCTCTTTTAATAGAGGACACAGGGAAATGTGGAAAGTCAACTGAAATTAAAGTAATTAAAGTTTTTCATTTACTGTAAGATATACAATCTTCGTATAAAGCAACGTACAGTAGTGTGTCCTCTTTCAAGGGGCTATGATAATTTTACCTGTGTAATACCTTCATATTCAAATATGAAGTAAAGAATTAGTGCGGTTGTAAATATAGAAATCAGTCTCTCTGACTGTTATAAATACCTGCTACCATTTCACGCTTCAGCTTTTGATTGCCTAACTGGTGGAGAATCAGGCACGGTATCTATATGATACCACCTTTTCTAAGTTAATTGTCAGCAGGTTAACCTATTACAGTTGCTTAAATACTCTACCCAGTATGTCCTATCAGGATCTGAGATAATCTGGTCATCCTCTTAGGCAACCGAAGTCATCGTTGGGAAGGCGTGGTATACAATTTTCCCCAGGCTCAAAAAGAAGGATAAAGGTAATATACCAGCTTAACTTTCTTAAGAGAGATCAGCTGTGTAGTTCTCTCTCTCTCTCTCTTTCTCCCTCCCTCCCCCTCTCCTTTTTTTTCTTTTTTTCTTTTTTTTTGCATAATCCAAGTACCAGTTGACTAACAATCGATGCAATCTACCCATGCAACACGACTTACATCATGGCCTCTTGTGCCTCCTTAAATAGTTCTTCATTGTCCGTAATCAGATATCTGTGGACTGGAATCGGATGGAGAGTTTCGCATTTTAAGGTGACCTACAGTACGCTGGATACTCTAGGTTGTATTGTTGTGAATTGACTAGACACTCACGGCAAATCTCCAGGCACACTTTTCTCTCAATCCAAGCGAAACACTGCGGGGTGCTCACTGGACAGGAGGTTTCGCAGAGAACTTCGGCGGTTTAGGGTCTTCGAAACTAGAGACTCATTCATCGCATCCCATCCCGTCACAAAAGTTGCGATTCTGTTTTCTGAAAAACACACTTAAGGTTTATTTTGATTCTGGCAGCACCCACGAACTGGCCGGATAACCCGCTCTGCTGGCAAGAATTATGGGAAAAAGTAAATGGACAATTTAATTGCGAAATTGATGATGATAATCTTTCACTCGAATTAGTTATAAGAAATTACGAAGTCAATGCCATCACGAAATGCGTACACTACTGGACGAGTGGTGAAAATGGGAAATCTGCTGAAGGTAAGCTTTCACACGTTCACAGTTGCAGCCCTGCAGGTGCAGGTGTACCTAGCTAGCTGGGTTGTAAGCTCTCTTGCCTTATGTAATGCATGTGGTAGTGTTAGCCCTTAAGTATACGGTCACAGGCAAGCAAGACGTGAAGTAAAGCCTTTGAAACTTTAGCACTGTTAGATATTGCACAAAATGTAAACATGAACATGTGCCATTCTAAAAATAGCCCGGCCTGATATCTTACACATTAAATAAAATACCTTTCATTCATTCATTGAGTACATGGAGGTAATAATAAAAGTAGGTATACTTAATTCCGTCAAGATGAGTAAAAAAAATACAGGCCTAAGGCTTGACTCCCATTGCGAGCAATTCCACTTGAGAATCCTTCATGCATAAACATAATCGCCCACTCTTCTCATCCAGAGAGCTATTTCGATGATTGTTCAATGAAAATATAACAATTAAAATAATTATTTTTCATCCTCTTTGAAAATTGAAAAGACCAAAATGAATAATAAACCCAATGTGCCTTTTTTCAAAATCAGAATCGCAACTTTTGTGACATCAAAATCTAACATCATGAGTTACACCGCTATCTTCCCACTGGTGTGTCATTTTTGTAATGACACAGTGTATTACAGTGCGGGCATTGTACTTACATTGGAAATGTACCGTGATTTCGTGGATTTAATAAGCTTGCTTCGTTATTTCGGTGATAATTTGCGATGAAATCAAAATAATTGTTCTCACAACCTATACACTGTCTAGCCATGATGGAACTGATTTGAATTTGAGATGGCTTCATCTAGGATCAACTTCAATTGTCACGTGATGATCTATTCCATATCTGATTGGTTATACTGAGTGTGTATGTTTACGTCACGCTCACGCACGAATCTAATTGGCTCATTTGATTTCCCTCGCATACGTCATCTGCTACAATTCCGTCCGATTTTCCGTCCCTCTAAAAGACTTTTTGTCAGTTTGTCGCGGCGGTGGAGGTTTAAGGTTACTGCGTCATAGAAATCGTGGACTTTATACCCTCTATAACACCGTTATTATCAATTTGCGCAGAAAATGGTATAGAAGAAAACTGTCATAAAATCATATGTTCTACCATCCGGCAAGCTCAGATTCTTTAAATTAGGTATTGGGTTGCATTTCCAACAATACCTAGATTTTTTTTGGTCAGATAATGATAAAAAAAACTTGTCTCACTTCAATAAATCTAGTTTGTGCATTGTGGGTTTTTTTCTACCATAGGACCTACACGGCAGAGTGCTTTTTCATTCATACTGATAGTTAATGGATAGAGTATGCAAGTTCTCAAGTGTCACCCCTTCATTATAATGTAATCAAATGACAAATCCTAAGCATAAAGAACAATAAATGTGTCCCTTCCGTATGATATAATCAAAATATGATTTTGTGTAAATTTTGGGAATACGGTAAATATATCGCACTTAATCCGTTTAGGGACTCCTTTTATGTCGTTTTTTTTAAAAGTATGATTTGATATGCTTCAGTTCATCGGTTTTATGAGTTTTTTCACTGCTCATATTAGCGCGCTAGTTAGGTTTGCACTCTCTATATAGAAGCTCATATTACCTTTATTCATTATCACTATTTCACTCTAAGGTAAATGTTTTGTCTGCCTTATGATATTTACAGTAAGGATTAGTACACACAACGATTACGTTATTATC